GCCCTCCTTCCGCCGACACGCGCATATGGCGAAGTGCGTACGCACCTAATACTCATTTAGCGGGAACGTTGAACGCGCGAAAACGGTGTGTTGCATTGAAATCATTGAGAACCATTTGTGAACAAACTTTGGATTAAGGATTAACGTTATCTTTAGCATTAAGTTGTCGCTTAAATTTGTTCTGAAAACAAAATGACTCAACCAATGAAGCGTCTTCCGAGTACTTATGTTATTAAGAGAGGTGAGTTGTTGCTTGTGATTTTCGAAATTTTTCGTTATATTTTCATTTTAAAAAAAGGAATCTCCTCAAATTTCCGTCATTTCTTTCATCTTTTATTAACTTCCTTATCAGTACTTTCAGAATTTCATTCTTATTTTTTATAAAACGATTTTTTGCGATTCCAACTGTCCGGCCCCCTGACATGGCTGCAAGTTGAATGTCTTTCTATACTGATAACGAAATATGAGAGAGATATGAGAGAAAATTGCTGTAAATTAAGTCATTGAGAGAACCTGTGTGATTTTATAGGCTCAAGGTTGTCAGGAGTTAACCGAGGTTTTTCACGAGGAATTTGTCCCTTTGTTTTAGTCGTTCATCCAAATATTCACAAATTTATTGTTTGTCCTCAGAAAAATGATTCAATAGTGTGGAATACATTGTTGACTTCTGGCAGCCGAAAAAATCATTTCATAGTACCATACGCATTCTTCAGATGGTCGCCAAGAGGGTGTTCAGTTCGACAAAATTGCTCATCGTATCGAAAAGTTGTGCTATGGACTCAATCCGGACTTTGTGGATCATGTACGTTTTCGTTATGATACTTGATGAAGTTCATTGAGGAATGTTTCAGTGTCAGTTCTGAACAAATTTTTTGCTGATTCATTTTATGAAAAAAAAAAACTCAAGAGGAGATAAAGATTTTTCAGAATTTTCACGATGAATTCACCCAATTGTAATGTGCATTTGACTAAGTTTCATTTGATTGTTTCAGATTGAAGTATCGAAAAAGGTGATTGCGGGTTTATTCAAAGGTGTTTCGACAGTGCAGTTGGACAATTTGGCAGCTGAAACGGCCGCCGATATGACCACTAGGCATCCAGATTATGCAATTTTAGCGGCTCGTATTGCAATTTCGAATTTACACAAACAAACTAAAAAGGTGGCTCATTTTCTTGATTTGATTTAATGCCTTTAATTTATACTCGTATTCGATAAGAAACAATTTTTTCAAGCGATTTTCTGGAATTATCGTTTCAAAAAGTTTTCCAATGACCGAAAAAATGTTTCAGTTATTTTCGGAAGTAGCCACTCTTCTGTACAATGCGCATCATTCAAAAACTGGTGTTCACACTCCGGCGATTAGCAAGGAGATTTACGATATCATAATGGCTAATGCTGATGTTAGTGGATTTTTTTGATTCATTGATTAGGATATCTGGAAGGTATTACAGATCTGCATATTCGGGTCAGAAAGCCACCCCTAAAAGTGCTGTTAAAATTCCACGATAATTCAAACAACTTTGCTGCTGTTCTCCGTGATGTTGATTTAAAATCCAAGAAATCGAAGGCTCGTAATCTTAGTGATTCTTTCAATAGCTGTATGATAAGCATTCTGAGTTATCGATATGTTCGGTTTATTGTACATCACACTCAACGTGATGCAGAAACAAGTTATGAGGGCATTTTTTAGCGACTCAATTCAAGGATCGTTCACGACCGTGACTTTTCGTTCACGTATTTTGGTTTCAAAACATTGGAGCGTTCGTATTTGATCAAGTTGAACGGTGTGCCTGTTGAAAGACCGCAGCATTTGTTTATGCGTGTCGCAGTCGGAATTCATAAAGAAGATATCGATGCAGCTATTGAAGTACGGTGCTATTTCAAACATTTTATCATCATTGCTTANAGCTATTGAAGTACGGTGCTATTTTGAACGTTTTATCATCATTGTCTGGAATTTATCAATCTAAAAGATCGATATGGAATGTACATTCTTGATAATTCACATTGCCCTCAATCACGTTAACTGGTTTAGCACGTAATTCGTAAACAGGTTAAACAAGCTTTCCACTAGGCCGTTCAGAACATTATGCTTTTAAGAGCTACTTCTGTCTTCTGGTATTTGATGGAATATTTGGCAAATAGCTCACCTATTTAATTATCATTAATTGAGAATGAATACATCGTGTTGATGAGGAGCTTTATTTCCCGAATTTCCGTTCGAATTCCAGATTACAAGTTATAGTTGTGGTTCGGTATTTCAGACCTATGATCTGATGTCTGAACGGTGGTTCACGCATGCCACACCAACTTTGTTCAACAGTGGAACGTGTCGTCCACAGATGTCATCGTGTTTCTTGTTGACGATGCAATCAGATAGCATTGAGGGAATATTCGAAACACTGAAGCGATGCGCACTGATATCGAAAAGTGCCGGTGGAATCGGTCTGAATGTCCACTGTATTCGAGCAACTGGTTCGTCGATTGCCGGTGTAAGTTCTTGAATCAATCTGACGGGAAGAAAGATGGTTCCAAAAGTACAATGAAATCAAACGATCCGTTCGGTTGAAGAATCGATGTTTATAAGATCTCGAATTCTTGACTATGAAAAGTGTGAAATTAGATATTGACGAATAAGGTCGACGTTTGATTTGTATAAAATATTTGTAGACGTGTGGTGTATCGAACGGTCTTGTTCCAATGCTGCGAGTCTTTAACAATACAGCACGTTACGTTGATCAAGGAGGGAATAAGGTGAATTGCTTTTTCGTGGAATAAACGAGATTTTCGTGTTGAGATTGAAAATATTTTTTATATTGTAAATTATGGAGCAATGTTTTTATGTTTTTTCTTTTTTGTATTCGTAATCATTTCGGATTGTACACTGATTATGTTTTGTCATTATCGTAATGAAATGTTGAAGCGTCCTGGTGCATTCGCAATTTATCTCGAGCCTTGGCATGCGGACATCTTCGAATATTTGGATTTACGCAAGAACACAGGCGATGAGTTGGAGCGTTGTCGTGACTTGTTCTTCGGTTTGTGGGTACCGGATCTGTTCATGCAACGTGTACGCGACAACCAGAAATGGTCACTGATGTGTCCGGCGGAATGCCGAGGTTTGGAGGATTGTTGGGGTGAAGAATTCGAGAAACTTTACACGAAGTTAGTTTTGTCGAGAGAAGAGTTTTCGTAGTGTTTTGGTCTGTCGTTTGGTAGATTTATCGAGTCGTTCCATAGTGCATTACCTGGATTGGCCAGGCTATCAAACATTTATAAGGTTCATCAAACGTTGCTGGTCACAATGCTCGCGTTTCCGTGCGCATTGTTTTAACCTCAATTTACGCCACCCCGCTGGCTAGGCGAGCAGGCCAACGGAACACAACCGAGTAAATAATTAGTCGCCGTGAATACTTTGCATAATTAAACG